CCTCTGCCTCTGTCGCTTCACGCTCTGCTCCTCTCGGTCCCTGTTCGCTACTCCGCCCCTTCTGTCTCTTCGCGCCTCTATTCTCTCTTTCCCCTCTCGGTTCCTTCCTTTCTCTTCTCTCCTCTCGGTTCTGCCTCCCTCTCTCTCTCGGGTTCAGCATAAGAAGGCCGAGCCTCGGCAGACTTCGGGGAAAATGCCACTTTTAGCCCATTTTTTATATTTTTAACATTTTAAGCCCGTTTTTCATGATTTTAAAGCGGGATTTTCTCCAGAAATTATATTTTAATATAATAAACTCTAAATATTCATAATTTAAACTTATTTTTATGAAAATCATTATTTAAATAATAAAGATCTAATGGGGGATTTATTTAAGGTGGAGTGTTGACTTTGCCTTAACTTATGACACAAGCAACCACCCCACACCCACTCTATGACCAGCCATACCTCCCCACCTTACCTATGTCACTTCAATGTTCCCTTACACTCAAATTTCACTCACTCCCACGTTTTTGAGCTGGAACAAACAACCACACTCCTCATTTTCTCTCATTTCTCTCATTCCACTAAGTAACAAACACCACTTTTCTCTCAAACTCTTCTACACAAATTTTCGAGATCCAAGGCTGATTTCAAATGTTCTTCCACACTTAGTAAGTAAAAAATTCATCCTCCCTATTATTATTTCACTTCATTCTACTCAAGTCTTTGATTGCTTACACAAACTCCCTAACTATAATGTTAGATTCTCGAAAACCTTCAAGGCATCTCCAAGTGTTCTTGAATTAAACACTTCCATTTTTCAACAATCATCTACTGAAATCACTTAAGGTGAGTTCATACCCCTACACTTTCATGTTTTCTCAAGTTTTCAGGGGGGGAGTACAAGTTAAAATCAGTAAGAACATAACTAAATTTTTCTAACTGCCTTCATCAGAAAGGTTCAACTCCATTCACGGACTGTTTTGGGCATCTTAAACATTTTTGTTTTCAAAACTGTACAAGGTGCAAATAGTTCAAGTTTTTAGCTTTAAAATGGCTACTTGCACATCTCCATACGATTTTTCTACAATTTATGGTGATTTTTACAAAACTGCCTATCATTTCGAACAACAATCCGGACCAGTTTGTGATTTTGGACTTTTTCACCCAAGTTGGAGGTCATTAAAAATCGTGATATAAATTATGAGTAAACTAGACACATTTTGTGAACTCTCAGAATTTACGGATCTAGTTTTCGACTTCGTATGATTTTTCTATGATTTTTCCAAAAACAGGGCAGAATGGCTAAAGTTAGCCAACAGCATGTAAATATCATAACACTTTGTATTATGTTGAGCAAAGTGTATAATCATAAGTTCTAATATTTGAATGTGTTTCCTTGTTAGTTTATCATTATGAACTGAAACTAAGTCATTCATATTAAATATTATTCATTCATTTAGAACACGTATTATTTAACTATAAAAAGTATAGTTTGATAAATTCATAACACTAATACATTTCCATAAAAGAATTCATACATATTACATACATTTTAGATAAACTATAATAGGTATAGTTTATGATACATCACTCAACGCACTCGTACAAAGAGGGTACATTCATACAAGAAAGATTTATATTCACACACATTTCACGTAAACTTGTTAACCTATGTTGTGAGACTCTCTCTCTCCCCGTACGTCCGAGTGCGGGATATAATTCCTGGTAGTTATAATCAGAATCTCCTTGAGGGAGAACGTGATACTTGTATATAGATATATATTGGGTTTGACACCCCACACCTTGCTGCTAGCTACAGTGGGACCTGCAGGTCTACGGGTGACAAATGTCATTTCATTTTCGCGACGCCTGAGAAACGTTGTGGCAGGTTCACATAGTCACAGTATGATTATAGCGACTCACTTAGGGAGATAACAATTCATAAAGTTTACGGGGTTTCATAAAACCGAAGTAGGTTTTAGGTTGATAAAAGAAATTTACTTTCCATATCATTTTAAACTCACAACATTTCTACTAAGAAACGATGATTTCTCATACATTCTAGTCTTTGGTTATAAGGCTACATTTTTCGGATTTCAAGGAAAATATCGGATTTTTATGAAACAAACGCGACATTTACATGTGAAAGACTTCTACTAAGTTTATTAATAAAAGCTTATGAACTCACCAACCTTTGTGTTGACACTATTCAAACAACTTGTATTCACAGGAAAACACTAATCAGGTTATCAAGTGCTTTTGAGGATGGGACGTTAAGGCGTCAAACTTTTCATATTTTGTCAACTTATTGTAATTGATTTTGAAACATGTAATTCATACAAGTGATGTAACTTTTTCAATTATATATATGTTAGTTGTGTTTGCTTAAATTACTATTGAAATTGTGGTTATGATACTATACATGAAGTCCTCCACCCCCGGACGTTTCCGCCATCCTTGGTTTGGGGGTGTGACAAATTTGTAAAAATATATTTCAAAATTGTTAAGGAGTTTATTTGTGGTGGTGGTTATGCAGGTGTTTCCCACTGTAAATCCATCTGTTATAAAATAGTTGAGAAATGTGGATTGCAAATTTATTGTAAATCCAAAACCATAATTAAACTCTAATTATTCAACTAAAACTTCATGGCTGTAATCTTTATATAAAATGATAAGGTTCTTGATTTTCATATTTGTAATATTTGGGTAACATGTTTGTTATAAATAATGTGGATTCTACTTGAAGCTCTTATTCACTAGTTATTACTACCCATTTAACAATTAATACATTTATTTTTATTTCTTGACTAATGACTTATAAAGTGCTTAGAATAATCTATTATCATTCTTGTTCTTATTATGCAAGTTTTATTAGGAGTTGGAGAGATTATAGCTTCATGATCATATGCAAAAGTAAGGTCTTATTTTTTTTATTGAATAAATGTTGTCTAACATGTTTGAAAACTATATTGAGAAAATAATGGCAAGCTTGAGAAATGGAAGGGGAAATCTATAAAAAGTTAGTACATAATGAGATTTTTTCTCTCAATGATAGGTGTGGAATCAACGAGCTAATCAATAAGAATACTTTCTAACTCCTTTTGATGAAACTTTTGATGCTATTTTTTAGTATTATTCATTAAATGTTGAATATGGATTTAATGTATGTCGCAAATTGAATTTTTCATGTTTATATATTGTTGGTTTTAAAATATAAATTTGATGTATGTTTAAGATTTTTCTGTGTTGAATATGTAATTATTTTTAATATTTTTATTAATTTATAATAACAAAATTTGTCACTAATCTGTCACAAAAATCCGTCTGTAATCCGTTAGTGAGTTATTACAAGATTTTGTTGGTAGTCTGTTAGTGAATTATTCCGTCAGTAATCCGTTGCAAAAAATATTTGTCGGTGATTCGTTACTAATTACCGACGGAAAATTCCGTTGCTAAAAATTAGTAGTAGTAGTCGGAAATCCGTTACAAACAATTAGTAACAAGAATATACTGACGGATTTTGGTTTGTTACAATTCCGTTGGTAAAGGGTATTATCGATGGTTTTGGCCGTCGGTAATGCTCTTTTTTTTTAGTAGTGTTAATGGTTACTTGTAATTAGAATAGGAATTAGAGATTATTTTCTGGATGGTTGTTATTAGGGTATACTTAGATTATGTATGATAATTATTGAGTGATTATAATTAGATGCTTAAGTTCCGAAAGAACGACAATTGTTCATGGATATTCTTATTATAGGTTTTTACATGGTTTTATATAATGAAAAAATCTACAATGTTTTCTTATTAACTATAGATTAAGAATAATGTGCGTACAAATTTAATATTATCCATCAAATTTTCATGAATATAATGAATTTGAAATACTCAAAAAAGTCGTATTTAAAATTTCAGTTTTGTAACATGCTTTGTTCTTTAAATCCACTTGGTGTTGGACTTTATATTTTATTATTAATTATTCGAGCAAGTCAACTTTTTTATGGAATATGTATTAATAATGCTTTCTTCATCATGTATCTTCAATAATTGACATGGTGTTTTAATTTTGTATACTTAAATGTCGTAAAAGATAAAACTTTTATTTTCTATTTATTTTTCGTTTTCATTATTATATTTTTAATTTGAACATGCTGTTCTTAAAATTTGTTCATTGTTGATTATGTTTTCTGTTGTCAAAGTGTTATTTTTTAATTTTTTTTTATAATGAGCGTTGACTTTTATTATATATATATATATATATATATATATATATATATATATATATATATATATATATATATATATATATATATATATATTGTAATTATCAAATGTTCTTTTAATTAAACTTCTAACTTCATTTATTTCCAAAAAAAATTATAAACTTCACATTCATCTGCCTCTTACATTGTTTTCATTTTCAACTATCATATATATAACCTAGTAGGTGTTCGACAAAAAGATGTGGTGTAACAAGAAGATAATAGTGAAATTTTGAAAAGCTTGAAAGTAGCTCAAGTTAAGGGTTGAAGTTTAAGAACATTATAATGAATATATCAAACAAAATGACGTATTATGGTAGGTTTGGGTACCTAAGCTTATATACACTCAAAGGTATATATATATATATATATATATATATATATATATATATATATATATATATATATATATGGAATGATTCAAATGGAAACCAAAAAAGATTAACAACCTAAGAACCAATTAATTTTAGCTTATAATTAACAACCATAAGAACATTTTATCTATAAGGCAATATTAGGTTTTTTATTATATTAACTAAATATGTTATTTTTGTCAATTTTAAAATTTTCATTATCTTGTCTGTAAGGGTATTTCCGTAATTAACAAAATCAAGCAAAAAGCAAATATTTTCCACACTACGTCAAGATTCTTTCGTTCAAATTCTTCAAACATTATTGGTTATTCATATTTCGTGACCGTCAATTTATATAGAATCAATTGATTCTGTTCGATTTTCATATATATAACGAGTTTGTATGGAATCGTTACCTGAAGAATCATCGTCTTCTAAGTTGGATCCGATGTCTGTTCAAAGCGTATCAGGAACAGATGAATTGAATGTTCAATCTTTAGCTCAATCTGATTACGATATTGCAATGGAAGGTGAATCAGAAGCAGGTATCTCGTCTTCTAAGTTGGATCCGATGTCTGTTCAAAGCATATCAGGAACAGATGAATTGAACGTTCAATCTTTAACTCAATCTGATTACGATATTGCAACGGAAGGTGAATCAGAAGCAGGTATCTCGTCTTCTAAGTTGGATCCGATGTCTGTTCAAAGCGTATCAGGAACAGATGAATTGAATGTTCAATCTTTAGCTCAATCTGATTACGATATTGCAACGGAAGGTGAATCAGAAGCAGGTATCTCGTTTCCTTCTGTTTGTTACTAATTTAATCCGTTTTTAATTCTTATACATTAAAAAAGTACTTAGGTAGTTGAATATGATGTTCTACCCGTTATTAAGATGTGAATTGATTTCCTTCTGTGAAATTTCAGTTGTTTTTTATTTATAATATTTGTATTTTTACATATACTGTGAAATAGAGTTTAGTTATGTACTTGTTTTCATATGTAAATGTCTGAAATAGAGTTTTTATTTGTTAATTTTATTTATTATTTCCAATTAAACTGTGAATTCTCCTTTTTTTTGTTTTTTATTTATAATATTTGTATTTATAATTACAATCTTCTAACTGTTATTAACCTGTGAATGTATTTGGTTATGTATAATATAAATGTAATTATACTGTGAATTTTTAATTGTTTTTGTGCATATATTACAATATGTGTCTTTTAAGTTGATATATGTTTTTATTTTTCTTATTAGGTCAAGATAGTTTTTCTGAATTTTTCTCTCCTGCTGGAACTCATAAAATATGGATTTTTGAGGATGTTGATGATGTTAAACCAAAGTTGTTTAGCAAATATCTGAGTATTGAAGATGCAATGGATATGTATAGGGCCTACGCTGCTAAAGCTGGTTTTGATGTAAGAAAAGGTTTTACAAAGATAAACACTAAGTCACGTGTTCTTACTCATCGATCAATGTTGTGCAATAGAGAGGGATTTCCTCAAAGTGTGTATGTGGACACAACTGATTCTAAAAATAATAAACCTCATAGAAATTCGAATATTAAAAGGAAAGGATGTCCAGCTTTTGCAAAATTTAGAAGAGTAGGAAATTCAGATGTTTTTGAGCTACACAAATTTGAAGAAAGACATAATCATGATTTGGTTGCAAAAGATTATAGGTATTTATTGAGGTCTAATAGGCAATTGGACAACACTGCTCAAGAATTCATTAAAAATATGGTAAGGGTAAAATTTGATCCAATGAAAGCATACAAAATAATGCAAGAGCTAAAAGCGGCAAACAATGTTGGAGCACTGTTGTTGACTACAAGAATCAGTCTAGAAAAGTGAATTGTTTTATTGAAAAGGATGATGCAATTTGGATAGAATGAAAGACAATCCTACTCTTACATTTTAGTTTATATGTGAGAAAGGAAAGTTAGTTTCACTTTTTTGGGCTGATGAAGCTGCAAAGGCGAACTATAGAGAATTTGGTGATGTTGTTTCTTTTGATGCTACTTTTCGGACGAACAAGTAAGTTTTTTTATATTTTGTTTTATTATATTATTTTGTTTTTTTGTTTTTATACTAACTTTTTTTATATATTTATTTTTTAGATATCGTATGGTATTTGTTCGTTTCACAGGAATTGATAACCATAGAAAGAGTGTTACTTTTACAATTGGTCTTTTGAGTAGTAAAACTACAAAATCTTATGTTTGGCTGCTTAATTTTTTTTTTTTTTTGAAGACTTTTGGTAAACAGCCGACTGTAGTTCTCACTGATGAAGATGTTGCAATGAAAATTGCAATTGAGAGAATATTGCCTGATTCACGTCACAGGTTATGTATGTGGCATATAACCCAAAAGTTTCCTTCCAAGGTATATAATTTAAATTTTTAGAACATTTATTTCTTGTGAATTTTTATGTTTTTTGTCTATGATTTGAATTTTGTTAGATTATATTATTTTTACCTCACTTTTGATTATGTTATTTATTATGTGTTATTAAGTTGTGAATTTTTTCTTTACGTATGTGCTGAACTTGCTGATGATATGAAATTCAAGAAACGTTTCAATAAGCTGATTTGGAATTCTATGACAGATGCTTCTGAGTTTGATATTAGATGGAGAAGTTTTATTGAAGATTATAAGCTTCAAGAGATTTCATGGTTTTCAAAAATGTTTCATATGAGAGAAAGTTGGATTCCAACATATTTTAGAGACAAGTCATTGTCTGATTTAATGAGGACCACTTCTAGGTCAGAAAGCATGAATTCTGCATTCAACAAAATTTCTCACTGGGGTAATTCATTAGTTAAGTTCTTCACTTCTTTTGATTCAACTATGGACAGGCAAAGACATAATCAATGTTACTTAGACCATCTTAGTAATATTTCTAAGATTAAAAGTAAAATTTCACTAAAAATCATGGAACATGCTGCTGATATTTATACTAATGAAGTCTTCATAAAAGTGAAGAAAGACATTGAACAATCTCTATTTTCATGTTCACAATATAGTGTTACGAATGAAGAATTTTATGATAGATTTGTTGTTATGCAATATAAAGATATTATATGTAAATTATTATATATATATATATATATATATATATATATATATATATATATATAATTAACATCTTAAGTTCTGAATTATTAATATTTTTGTTTCTTTTTATTTTGTACAGGTTGTTTATGACAAGAAGGAATCAAGTTTTGAATGCTCTTGTTCATTGTTCGTTCAGAATGGTATATTATGCAGGCATATATATAATTTGAACATTGCTTCATTAGAACCTCAGATGGAATAACACCTTTGCACCAACGCCTAAGAATGTACTTTGAAGGAATCTTGTTTATTTGGTAAGTCCTAAAAATGCAAAATATATGCCTGCATAATATACCATTCTGAACGAACAATGAACAAGAGCATTCAAAACTTGATTCCTTCTTGTCATAAACAACCTGTACAAAATAAAAAGAAACAAAAATATTAATAATTCAGAACTTAAGATGTTAATTATATATATATATATATATATATATATATATATATATATATATATATATATATATATATATATATACATAATTTACCTTGAAAAAATAAGTCTTTTTTGGAACATTACATTCACTTTCTGAATCTTCTTCATTAACAACTGTTGGAGTAGACTTATATGTAAATTACGTGTATATATATATATATATATATATATATATATATATATATATATATATATATATATATATATATAATTGACATCTTAAGTTCTGAATTATTAATATTTTTGTTTCTTTTTATTTTGTACAGGTTGTTTATGACAAGAAGGAATCAAGTTTTGAATGCTCTTGTTCATTGTTCGTTCAAAATGGTATATTATGCAGGCATATATTTTGCATTTTTAGGACTTACCAAATAAACAAGATTCCTTCAAAGTACATTCTTAGGCGTTGGTGCAAAGGTGTTATTCCATCTGAGGTTCTAATGAAGCAATGTTCAAATGATGAGACCTCATCACCATCATCATTGTTATATGATCCTCTTTCTCGTCAGGTTTTGAGTTTTGTGGAAGAAAGTGTGTCTAGTTTGAGTAAATATGCGGATGAGCTTAAGGAGTTTTTTGAGCTTATTAAAGAAGCAAAGTTGAAATTTGATGGTGTTTGTTCTACGTCAATCTCTTCAAATTCATTGTTGAAAAGAAAAGATATTTATGAGTTTGTTGAGTCATCCTATGGAGTGAAGAAGCCATCTATTTCTGATATTGGGAATCCTTCAGATGACATAAGTAATAAAGGATGTGGTACAGGTAAGAGGTTGAAAGGAGCTAGAGAAAAAGCCATTACTAATCAGTTAAACAAAAAAGGTTTTGTTCCAGGTGCAAACAATATGTTATTGGTCACAACAGTAGGTCATGTGAGCGTTTGGAAAGAGAATCAAAAGAAAAAGAAATGTGTAAAGATGGCAAAAATATGGATGCATGATCTATTTGAGAGATTTTGAAGATTTTTATCTTTTAGTTTTTAGTTTTTACTTGATAATGGTTTCTTTATATATATTATATAACATTTTTATCTTTTTGAATTGAATAGTATTTGTTTTGTACTCATAGTTTTATTTGTTTACATATAATGATTTTTAGTTAATAATCATTGTTAAGTTTGATATTACTAATATCTATGATTATTAATATTATATAAATACATTATATAAAAAAAAAGGAGAATTCACTATTTAATTGGAAATAAAAAATAAAATTAACAAATAAAAACTCTATTTCAGACATTTACATGTGAAAACAAGTACATAAATAAACAAAATCAGATTATAATAATAGTTACAACATCATATTTACAAATATTATAAATAAAAAACAAAAAAATGAGATTCACAGTTTAATTGGAAATAATAAATAAAATTAACAAATAAAAACTCTTTCAGACATTTACATGTGAAAACAAGTACATAAATAAACAAACTCACATTATAATAACATTTGCCACACCATATTTACATTTAAAAAACTATTTATCATATTAGAAGACACATATTATAATATATGAACAAAAGCAATTGAAAATTCATAGTATAATTACGTTTATATTATACATAACCAAATACATTCACAGTTTAATAACAGTTAGAAGATTGTAATTATACTTAAAAAACATTTATCAACAAAAAATACAAATATTATAAATAAAAAACAGAAAAAAAGGAAAATTCATAGTTTAATTGGAAATAAAAAGTAAATTAACAAATAATAACTCTATTTCAGAAATTTACATGTAAAAACAACTACATAACTAAACAAAATAATAACAGTTACAACATCATATTTACAGTTAAAAAACTATTTATCATATTAAAATTTCAAATTTTTAATTCACAACTTAATACTTTAGTCCTTTTGTTTTAATTTAAATATTCACAATTGTAAACATCAACAATTAACTAGAAATTCATATTTTTTAGATAATAAAATTTAACTCCAACATGTTAACCAAGTATGAAACATTATCCAAAATAAAAACATCATTAACACGATATTTGTTTAACTAGATAGAAGTCTTGAATAGCAGATAAACATTTATAAACATAACAAGAGTAGATATATATTATTTAGTCTTGACCAATCAACTGAAACCTTTCCTCATAGTTCTCCATTGCATGATTCACAACTTGTTTTTGTTCTTCTTTTGTCAGCTTTTCAAACTTAAGACTTTCTTCTATTATCTTATTGTTGTGGATGTTGATATCATTCACCAAGATCTTTGTAACATATTTTGATCGAAGCTTTGTCAATTGTTTTTTCTGCTGCTTTTGGTCTTTTTCAATCTCAGAATCCCAGTTATTTGGCCCTTGTCCTTTGAAAGTTTCCATATGTCTCATCAACATAACTCCACTGTCATTCATGTTGTTTTCTATCCACCACTTCAGTTTAAAAATTGCAACTTTCTTCTTCAGTAAATTGTCTACTATTGGATGTTCTTTTTTCAATCAAGTATAACACCACCATATTGAACTGTATTCAAAAATTTTATCAGCAACACTAATAAGATATAAAATTCACAATTAAAAGTTAATAAAAAACATTTGATTTTTTTGCTAAGTTATTAATTATACTCACCAAATTATATGGCAACATTCCATAAGTATCCACAATATCTTCTGTGGTTTTCTCATTGTCAATCAGATGTACACTACATTTTCGCAAATTGAAACAAATCATGTAGTAGTGCTTTCTGTGCAGTATTGGGAAGAACACCTGCATTAATAGTATAGTTGAAACTGTTAATACTTTAATATATATATATATATATATATATATATATATATATATATATATATATATATATATATATATATATATATAATAAAAATTAATAATTAGATTTTTTTTTCTTACAATTCCAACTTTTTTTAAATCCTTCAGATGTGGGTAGTTCTTCATGGCTTCATTCATACTTTCTTCAAACTTTTCCAATCTCTTATCATATGATGTATCCCTATCCAACATTTCATTGGTCTATGAAAAAATGAAATGTTATTTTATGGAATTATCATTAGTTATTTCAAATCAATATTAAAATTATATGCTTATATAATAAAATAATTCTTACCAGCATTCTTGTTGGGAAGTAGAAGCATAATGGTGTGGTATTTGCTTTACGCTTCTCTTCATCATTCAAGAACATCGACCAACAGTCGATTACTTTTGGGTAGATCCATGCACTTGGTATTAATGTTTTAAAAAATATCCTTTCCACTTTATGCCCATCCTTTGTTTCAAATATTATTTCCCTGTTTGATTAATATAAAATTATTAAGTTGTCAATGTTAAGTTGTGAATTAGTGATATTGGTGTTTGTTTTTATCAAAAACAAAATAAAAATAGTTAAACAAAAAAATTTAGTTTTTATAATATTTACATACTGTTCACAACTTGATAATTAAATTTAATTACTTCTTTAAATACTAGTTATATTAAAACCATTCACTTACTTGCCATCCTTTTGCAGTGAGAATATGGATTTTGAAATCCTTGTCTCAACAGCTTCTAATTTTTTTCTCACTTCAACTGTTCGCCTCATGTAAGGTGATTGGTAAGGTTCTGTTTTAGTTGTTGTCCTCTTTGATCTTGTATAAACTACTATTTTTTTCTTTTTCCTTGATCATCCTTTTCTTCAAGTATGTTTTTTTCATTTCCCTTTTCTTCTTTGTTGTTTGTTGTTCCTGTAACATGTACTGCATAGTAGTCATTTTAATGAAAAACATATTTTTTTAATTTATATTTTTGTTTTTCATATTACCTTCTCCTTGAGATTCATTGGTAAGAAAATCATTTTGTTCATCCTCCATATTTGGTGTCTTTGGCATATTATCTTCAAAGATTGGATTATTGTATACGCTTTCTCTTGTACCTTCTTCTTCATCTGTCTCATTTTCATTCTCTTTTCTTCTTGATGATTCAACAATGTTTTCATTCAACACTTTTTCAAATTCTCTTTCTCTTGTAGCTTCTTCTTCACCTGTCACATTTTCACTTTCATTTTCTTTGGTTCTTGATGATTCGACAACACTTTTGTTCAACACTTTCTCAATGTTCACAAACCTTTCAAACCATCCACATAGTTCTCTATCATCTGGATATTTTTGAAGTGCATGTTCCAATGTTTTTTCAATTATGTTTCTACACTCCAAAATGGTTTTAAGCTTACTTTCTACCAAAAGGATTTAGTTTTGCAATAAGTGTTAAATTATTGTTAGTTTATAGGTACAATCTAAAAAAAATTACAACTTATGTAACAACCCGAAATTTATCCCATCACAGTAAACCCCTTTTCCGCTAATAACACTTGTTTCATTAAATTGTTCCATTTACCTTTTTGGATTAGGTTAATTAAATTGGGACTCTTACTATAAATTCATGAGTGCTCAAAATGCAGTAGAAACACGTGAACATCCATCGGTATTTTAAAAAAAAAAGTTTCTAATTCACGACACCGTCGAGTTACAACTATCCAATCGGGTACGACCACAAGCCCCGTTCAACGTCAGTATCGGGTAGATTTCCACCGAGCCACAAACTCAAACCCTATATAAGGGTGAGTGAACCTCATTTACACCTTTTTTTTTCTCTCTCTCTCTCTCTACTCTCTCTCTCTCTCTCTACAAGTTGCTTTCGATCCAAAAACGCCCATTTCGAGCTCCATAATCATAAGTAATCTATCCTACCTTATTTTTTAGCTTGATATACCTGAAAATTCGTGTTTAAATCACCCAAACCCCTCATAAACATGTGTTTACGGCCCAAGAACCCTCTTGGACCCAAGCACTCATAAATGGGGTTTTGAAGACCTAAACCCCTTCCAAATCACTCATAGGGCTTAGGTATGACTTGTAGACTTGCATGTATGAGCTTAGAACACCAAAACCTTGTCTTTTAAGGAGTAAACATGAGTTTACAGCCCAAGAACACTCTTGGACCGTAAACCCCTCTTCATGGGCCGTGAACACAAATTAAGGTGTCAAATTTGCCCTAAAACACCTCCTATGGCTTAGGTAAATGTCTAGAATCAACCACCAATGAAGTAGGGGCATTAAACATCAACGAAACTATGGACTTAGGAGTTTACATCCGTAAACCCCCCCAAGGATTGGTCCATGGGCCGTAAACTCCCTTAAGAAGCCCAAATGATGCCCTAACTTCCCCCCTTTGGCTTGGAATAATGAATAGAACCTTGTATTCTTTCATTTAAGACCTTAAATCATGAATTGAAGGACCAAGTGAGAGTTTATGGCCATAAACTCTATGTTTACAGTCGTGAACTCCCTTAAATGGTTCATTTGGAGCCTTAACCCCTTCATATGCCCTAGAATTGAACCTAGCCTAATTCCACAAGCGATATAAGACCTTAAAACATCCAAGAACACACCACCCATGAGTTTACAGCCGTAAACTCATGGGGATATGGTCTTAGGGCCGAAATCTCAATAAAGAGTTTACTCTTGAAGAGTAAGCTCCCAAACTAGGCCATACACTCCCTTATTGCAACCCAATAGCCTCCTAGCACTTGACCAAAGTGTTTTCCACACATTAGGATGCTTATAAGTGTTTAATTAGTATTTTAATCACTAATTGTATGTAAACATATGTATTCATATTTTACTAGGTCATTAAGTGTGTTCAAGTCTTCACTTGACACCGAGCACTCGACCGACACTTCCATCCGATCCACTCGCCTCAGGTGAGTTCATACCCCTGAATCAACCTTTTAAATGATTTTAACTGCTTTTATAGGGGGGAATACAAGTTGAACTATACAGTTATTAGATAAATCGCACGTGATTCATAACTGTATAGCAAACTAGACTTTTGCATGTTAACTGTTTTAATCGGATTAAGATTTTCAAATCATGTTTTCAAATCTCGTTAAAGTATGAATATCTCTTTTTATATCATTAAAGGTTATACAAAGTTTTTCCAAATTTCGTTTGCTAAAGAGACATCCAGTCGTAATGTCTTATTAAAGGTTTTCCAAAGGTCTTCTTCACTTAAACTGTTTTATAAAAACCCTTTTCAAAGCTTGTTTTACAAAATGACATCAAGTGGTAAATTTCTTAAGTATACAGGTTTACCAAAGTTTTCTTCTATGCTTTTATTTCGTTAAATACATGCCTATATTTGTATAATTATATAAATAATGTTTAAAGGACTTAGGAAGGTTAGTTCGCCCTATTTACTTTTCCTCGTTGGGATGTGGTTTGGTGGGTATCGGGCATCCGTCCGAAGGTCGTTTAAACATTAATTATATATCACGTATACATATATGGACATAAAGGCTCTCTCTCTCTCTCTCTCAGCTAGTTCAACGCCTTCGGGTAGTAAAGGCATCTTTCTATTATTCATGTTTCTGGAACCTTAGTAACTATTATAGGAATAGTTAGGAGACTCTATCTCTCCCTCTATCTCTCCCTCTATCTCTCACTGTATATCTCTCTCTATCTCTCTTTCTATTTCTCTCTTTTACTTTAGAATGTGACACACTATTTCCCTCTACGACGCCTCATAGCGCCATCGCAGTGTAACCAGAGTCTCTGGAAAGGAGAGCGAACATCATGTGTATAGATCTATACGGGACTAACATTCCCACACCCAGACTACTAGCTACAGTCCGCACTGGTAAGGCCCATGGGTGACATAATGTCATTACCTTTATGCGTGACCTGTAGGGTCATCAGATACTCTATCGTCGATCAGCATGATTACATATGAGATCACATTCACCCTTTGTTTTAGAATTTGCTAGTTGTACCGTTCTTTCGATACTGTCTAGAGTCTGTGCTTCCTTTGGTTAGACTGAGCCAGGCGTATCAGTTATTCGATACTCTCCTGGAGTTTGTTTTCATTTGCCTTAGTCAGCAGTATTACTGCTGAAGTACATGCTATTTACCCCTAGTATGTTTACTTGTGTTTTATCATATTTCCTTTAAAGTCAATATTGTATTTTGGTAATGATAGTATTTTGGGGAGAATTACTCCTTAAAACATAAACCTATCGGGTCTTGGTAGAAGACTGCTTTATTTAGAAAGTATAGGATTTTCTGGAAAGAACGTTAATACACCGTAGATTCTAGATTACTATCTCTCATAAAGTTATTTTGAATAAAAATGTGTATTTATACAAATGAAACTAAATACTTATGGACTCACCAGCATTATAAAAATGTTGATACTTGCTTTCAAAAATCATTTGTATTCTCAGGTCATCGATAGACAGGTACATCCCTGGAGCGTTTGCGGAGTCAGCCTAGTACCGAGCTGCACCTATATTAATTCTTTTATTACTTTGATGTTGCTATGAAATCTAACCTATGTAAAATTATTACTATTAATGCAATGGTTGTTTTACTTTGACTACTATATTGCATATGTTGTGATACTTGACATGACATCATCCACCCCATAACGTTTCCGCCGTTCCGGTTTTGGGGTGTGACACCTTAATATTCATTTCACAGTTTAATTTAGTAATATCCATTATTACCTCTGCACCAATGTCATCATTTTCTTCTGTATCTATATCTTTTTCAACTTTTTTTCCTTTTCTTTTTTCATTAACAAAGTCAACATCTTCTTCATCTTTGAATTGTATCGAATCAATATCCTCAACCAATGTGACCAATCCTAACTGACCTTGAGCCTTTCAATGTTTTGTCTTGATTTAATTTTTCCATAATTCCAGTAGCATATTGGTCTAATTTTTCGGTTGTCGTATTGGTTTTGGCAATCAGTTGAATGTAGATAGAGAAGCTGTAACTTATTTTGTAACAACTTAAAATGTTATTTAATTTAATAAATTTGATGATATGCAATGCAGTTTTATTTAAATTTTACTTACTAGCAAGAATGGAAGTGGCCCAACATAGTAAACGCCTTTGTTTCTTGGTTTCCATGAAGTCCTACTATGTGGCAATGCATCACTAAGATATTTGCACCAGCTTATATTTTTCCAGTCTTCAATTGCTGCAATCTTCATTGTAGTGTTTGTTTGTAAACCTCCACAAGCTTTTTTCTCTATCATTTTATTGACAAACAATGTGATGAAATTTAACACAAACATTTCATCTGCAATTTCTGATACTTCTATAATTTCACAAAGAGTTTGTTGTGATTTTGTTACATCAGGATGTTGTTGTTTCCATTGGACAATAATCTCACTATCTTCCTCACACTCATTCACAGTAGACAAATCTATTCCTGTTTTTGGTAAACCAAGGATTTGATGAATTTTTCTTCATTTATCATTAGTGGTATGTCCCCTAAATCAATGCAGTTTGAAGTAGTGTTATATCTTTCAACAAGAAAAATGCGCTCGAACTGATGGAATTGTATCAAATGATGTTTCATAGATTGCCTTGAAACCCAATCCTTCTAAACATTCTTTCTGTTCCATGCCTAGAGTTTTAACAGTAGTGTACAGTGCTTTTGTTGTCACTTTTGTTCTTAATGGAGTGAAGTTTTCATCATCAT